TAAAATTAAAAATATAAAAAAGAATAATAGATATAATTAAATAATTCTAGATACATTATAATGACTTTTAATTGAAATATGCAATTGGATACATCATGCACGTTAATTTCTTGCTTTCATAATATAAAATATTAAAAAAAAAATTATCTAATTAAATAACGAAGAGAAAGATAAAAAAAATAGTGACTTTTTCTAAATTACAAAGTGGGCGAACAACGATTGTTTATTTAGAAATAAAATTTCTAACAACTATGCGCTTCGCGATATCACGCGTTGGAAAAACTTTAGAGACTTTAGTCTCCAATTATTCTCGACGCCTCATTTGCTCGCTATTCATGCGGGTTCGCGTGCCATTAAGGGATCCTCTTTGTTCCTATCCTGGTCCCCTTTTGAAACAAGCAGGATGCCGCGAAACTCTATTCCACGATTTCTTTCTTCTCGCGGTTGAGAAATGAACGCAATCGCATTCGAAATTACGCCAGCGCGAGTCACAATCGAAAAACATTTTTTCGTCTCGCGTATTTCCATGAAAATTGAACGAATTGGACGCCATTAAAAGCAAATCGAACGATGAATTATCATGAGATAAAATTGGGATAAAAGATTGTTATTCGAATGAGACGAATTGAAAAAAAGTTTTAATTAAAAGAAGTCAGAAATGTAGAAAAATTAAAGAATTTATGGATTAAACTGCACATAAATATAAAAATGTAAAAATATTAATTTAAATAAAAACTCGATGTATTTGGAGGATAAAATTGAATTTCTATTTTTAATTTTTTTTCGTCATGTTTAGGAAAATATAAATATAATTATAAAAACTTTGTAATAAACACTCAGAAAATATCGAAATATCTTGTATATTTTAATATACATATCATTATCATCGTTTATTATAATGTTTTTGAAAATATTTATATATCACATTCAACAGTAAATTATCACTACGTTTCAAACAAATTTTCGATTTATTAAGATAATTATAAACTTCGTTAATTTATTACACGAAAATCATCTCTCTTTTCAAGACCATCTGTTTCACGCATATGCTATGTATATTATATCGATTAAATGATGTAATTATACGGATTTGGAATACAATTAAGCATGTTACAACAGTATATGCTCTTGCAGACGATGTACATGTCAGCGATTTGGAGTAGAGCAATTAGAACGAGGAATAGGCATAAATACAACTCCCATAAATGTAATACAACCCGATAATAAATGTTAATTAAACAAATAGCTCGTCACTGAATCGTTATGCGAATCGTTATTCACTTTTGCGCTTTCCACGATTTTATTCACGTTAAAAATAATGCGAGTGAAATTATAGGACCGATTATCGGTGACAAAATGCGATCGATTGAAATTGAGAACGTGGAAAGATCTTATTGAATATTGAATGGGCTATCGATAATAAATAAAAGATCTGTATTGATGATATATGGACACAGTTTCATTTTAGGATTTATTATTAAATCTGTTGAATTTTTAAGATATAACAGTTCAAAAATATATATTATTTATGATATGGAATCAAAATAAGATGAACAAAAACAATGTGTTTACAAAATATATATAAAAAAAGGAAAAATCTTTATTTGTAAAAGTATGATCTAATAAATATGAGATACTGATAAAATAACCAAAAAAAAGAAGTAAAAAGCATATTTTCAAGTTGAAATATTTAAAAATGTCCAAATATAGCTAAACTTACATTTAAATTGTATATTCATACCATTTACAATCCTATTTCCTATGTTACCTATTATCCATTACTTAACACAAATAATTATATTTTGTAATAATAATTTCTTTTCTTTTTCTGTATTTTTATTTTCAAAGTCTTCTTTTTCTAATGGCTACAATACATTTTCCCTTTATTCTCTTCATTGCAACACTTCCTTTCATTCTGTCTGTCATGTATCTTGCATTTGATCAAAAAGTGATCTAAATATCTATAGCTAGCCCATATTTGGAATTAACACTTGATAGTCATATCATTTCATCTTAGACGCTCAGAGCGGATGTGGAATAGAGTAGAATGCTCTCGAGAACATAAGCTGCATTAAATATTTCTACAAACTATTATAGATGCATTACTTCCAACACGAACAAATTGAACGTTACAAAATTGACGATATTTCCACGAAGCTTATGTTTGCTCAATTTTCATTAGCCCACTAGGAATACTCATCGATAATTCCGCCAATCAATGTAACACGAGTCGAGCTCTGTGCGGAATATTTAACCCGATCGAAGCCCGCGTACCCATCCAGATTAAAGCATCGAATTGCTTCGAAAGCCTGTTAATCAACATACGCCGGAGTACTTTAATTAGAAATACACTCGCGAGTATCGTTTCATTTATGGAAATGGCCCTCCCTGTCTGAAGTCATTTTGCGAACATAGATATCAAAAGTGAAATCAATTCTCTCCCCTATGACGAACGTATAGTGCTAGATAACTATATGAAAATAGGCTAACAAGACTGATGACGAATAGTCGGATATGTCATTATTCTCTATAACAATTGATCTTTTATAGAGATATGCACGTAGATCGGTGTAAATAAAAAGTAATCAGAGTATTTTAGTCGGAGTTTATAAAAATTTTCTTTCTGTTCCATTTAGGAAATTGAATCATTGCGACGCAATGTTTGGAAAAATTGAAATTGGTGATTCTAAAAATTGAAGGATTTTTAATATCTCTTGATGGTGGTATTGTCTTCGATGCTGGTGTTGGGAATAAGTAGATATGCTTTTTAGCTCTGAATATTGTGTTTCTTGTATTCTTTTTTTTTTTTTTTAGAATCTGCATGTCTTTTTATTATTTGATCTTTATATAGTAGATAACTATGGTAGTAAAAACTTATGAGATATTGCAAGTGATTAAAAATGATTAATTATTAAAAAACGGTTCGAAGTTAAAAAAAAGTATAAATTACAATAAGTATAGTAAGTGCAAATATTTATTATTAGTTAGTGAAAATTGCGATAAAATATATCAGATTTTAAAAAATGATTAAAACTTGTTTAAATAATGGCCAGAATAAATTAATTACCGAAAAAAGAAGTTGAAAGTTGAAATAATTAATTATCGTAGATTAAACATCGAGGAATGATTAATTCTTGCGATAAAATATCAAATTTAGAAATAATTAAAATTTGTTCAAATAATGGCCAGAAAGAATCATCGTAATCCAATTTTGCAAACAAATTATATCAAACCACGAATCTCTAATTAACACGAAACAATATATCCCTCCTAAAAGAATCGATCCAGAAGACCTAAGCAATCCCAAAAACAAATGACAATAAATCTTTTATCTTCCAATAACTAAACCGATGGGATAAGTTCCCTCTTTCGTAAAATCTTTCCATTCTATCAATTTATCCGGCAACAAATCAGACGTGTGCCTATTTCCCAGTCTCGAAGCGAAATGAGTTTCGTTCCGTAGGATTCAATCTCCTATCAATCGTTGAATATCCTCTTGCCATCGATAAAGGATCGATGCGATGAGATCTTTCAATTCTAATCGTTCCAACGAGTATTTAGCAAAGGAATGCATTAAGCGAGGACGCGTGTTCTTCCACTTCCGCCATTATTTGTATTCGAATGGCGGCGAATGTATTCGAATGAACGTGAAAGGGAAATCTAATATTTTTGTCACGAGTCTATAATTCAAAAGGAAAAACTGGAATATTATTCTATCAAAAATTTGGGAAATCAATTAATGACGTTCCATAGAATCCAAAAACTCGAAAAAAAAGTCAGATTAGAATTTTTTACTAGAAAATTTATTCGTGTAAAGTTCTACGTAAATAATTACTTTTGATACATTTCAGCAATGATTTTAAGAATTAAGAACAAAATTAATAGAAAATTCGATACAATTACAATTGGAAAATGTGTAATAGAATTTGTAGTGAATCGAATAAGTAAATGGATATAATGGCAAATATATCTATGGTAAAATTTATTCGATGATACGCAGAAAATGCATTTCAGCAAGGAGCACGCAAATGGATAATGAGATTGTGAAAGGCGCGGGCCTCGTTAAATTAATGGTTGCCTCAGTTGAATCGAGATTGTCTATGGTGTGATAACGTGATTATGCGGAGAATATAATTTTGCACGAGAGAGAGAGAGAGAGAGAGAGAGAGAGAGAGAGAGAAAGCGTCGCGTGGAAACAAAGAGAGTCTATTTTTGAAGTTGCTTTGTATTAATATTAATTAATCAATGGGCGAAGAGTTACAGAATTTGAATCATGCAACGTAATTATTTACATTTAATATGATTTTTAATAAATTAAACCAGGCAGACTGGTCTAGTAAAAGTGTGAAGAAAGTAGCAAGAGTCGAATTTGGCATCGCGCCAATCAATCGAAGAAACATTTCGCGTGTCAATATCTAAATTTACTCTACATTTTGGATGCAAAGGAATTTTAATGGCAATATTCCAAGAGAAGATTAATGATCGATCGGAACTAGTATCTAGTTCCAACTATGCATGTTTAATGCACTTCTAACTATACGATTTCCCTTTGTAATTTCGAAAATGTCTAATATTCAATCCAATTAATTTAATCAACATATCGAATGTGTATTAGAATCTATACACTTATTTTACATTATTTTACAATTAATTTAAGATCACAAACTATAACAATTTACATAGATTACAAGAAATCATAGTTAGAGATTACATAGAATCCATACTTACGAAAATTTCAGCAAAATTCGAAGAAATAAACGATAAACTCAAATTATTCCTACTTTTACTCTCTTTTTCATCTATTGACGATAAGAAACAAATTAAGAATCACCAAAAGAACTCGAGTTATTCCGTTCGACATTTCCAATAATTAAACTGTCAAACACCAATCGTTTATCAATCGCGATAATTTGAAACGATACGCATACAATCATTCTCAAATCTACCCCACTTTCTCTTTCGTTCCAGGATCAGGACATGCTCGGCAGGGGAGGCAGGTGATGCGGCGGAACAACGGTTGGCTGGCCGTACTGGCCGTTTCATTGGTCCTGTCAATTCTGCGGAACAGTTTGGCGGGCGAGCGTCATCCGCTCGATTATGGTAACGCCGAGCTGCCAGTTAACCGCAGCAACACCGCATATAAACCGTCCTCGCGAAACCAAAACCCCCTGTCCCCTCCAATCCCGTCCTCATCCCACGCCACCCAAATTCCAAGATCGACTCAACAAAAAGGCGTCATCCTCTCGTCCAAAGAAAGGACGAAAGCAATCCCCTACCCACCCTCCAACAACCTCGTCCAGACAAATCGTCCCGATGAGGACCCCGTCTACGATCTATCGATCCCTGAGAATCGACGAGAATCGAAACTCGTCCAACGACCACGTAACAATCCTCGACGAACAATCGAGACGAGGCTTCGAGAAACGACCAGTCTCCGCCCGAATATTCCGGAACAGCCGCGTTCATCCTCCTGGATACCTCGAGCCGTGATAAAGGGCAGATCCAGGAGGATCAACCCCGCGAAACACGGTGAACCGGCGAGGGACCGTAAAACGACGACGACGCCTCGACCACCTGTGACGATTCGAGGGAGAGAGGGGGCGGTTTTGGGGACATCGTATTACGGTCACGTCGTCCCAAGCGATGACGAATCGTTGACGACGACTTCTGGAGCATCGAGGGATCCCCCTCCAGATCTCGAGATAGAGAGAGTGAACGGGGTGGAAAGTGGGGTGCAAAGGGATATTATTGGCTCTTCGAATCACGACGGTGGTAAGATCGTCCGGAAACGATACTTAACGGGATACTCACTGTTTTCTATCACGATTAGTCGACGAGCGAATACGAGGAATAAATTAACACTGGGCTCGAGAAGGAGGTTGAAAAATAGACGAGGCGCAAGATCGATCTATGATCGGGACAAGAGAAGGTCGATTAATAATTTGGGGAGGAGGGGAGATGGAGAGTCGAGGATAAAGGTGGAGGATACTTGGTATTTCTCGAGACACGGGGATGGAGATTCGCGAAACGACGGATTCGATGAGGAGTATCGTAATCCGTCGAGGATGGAAGATCTGCAGCGAGGAATCTCTCGTGGATCGATGGGGGCTGTGCGATACGAGAGTACGCGCCAGTTGAATGGAACCTCGAAACGGATATTAGCCGTAGATAACGATCGAGATGGTACTCGTTCCATCGATTCAGCGCGAAGCAAGAGAAATATTGTATCGGTCGATGATGGCGTCGCTTTCGAGTCATCGGACGGGGAGGAGAATTCATGGAACGTTACTCTTTATGGGGCGAGCAACGGTGTGGATAATATGGAGGAAGAATTGAAGTTCGATTTTTCTCGAGACAACGTTACGGACGGTTTGTTGGACGATCGGATGTTTTCGTCGAGTGTAACAGATGTTGCTTCGAAGCCGGATAACGAATCCTATTTCGTGAGACGAAGCATCGGGGAAAATTCTAACGTCGATGGATCGAAAGAATCGAGCTTAAATTGTTCGAGATCGAAGGACGAAGCACGATCCACGAATATTATGAAAAATGCGAGTTCTGTCGATGGGTTGGAAGACTCGAGTACGCGGAATTCTTCGAAATTGGATAACGAATCCTATTCCACGAGTCGAAATATCGGTAGAAATTTTAAAGTTGATGGATCGAAAGACCGTAAGAGTGTAAGAAACGTTTCGAAATCGGATGATGGATCGTCTGCTGTTGGTGAAAATTCTGTCGATGGATCGATATCGAACGTTCCAAACGAAAATTATCCCGTCTTAATGTCGAACGATTCGATGAGCCGTGATGCAAGTACGAATTCAACAACAGAGGAGGCAAAGCTAGAAAAATCAAGCGTGCCGGATAAAAATCGTTCGACAACAAATGAAACCGATTGGACAAGGTGCAACGCGAATTCAAACGAACGGACGAAATTACAAGAATCGAATATACAACGTGGAAACGATACCGGTGAATGGAACAACGAATTTCGTTCGATGAGCCACGATGATACAATTACAGATTCAATTAACGGGACAAAATTACGAGATTTAAATGGGAATTATTCCCAATTAATGGAAAATAAATTTCGATCGGAATCGAGACAAAACTTAATTACAGATTTAATTAACGATACTCCGAATAAAAGTTATTTACACGTTACGTCAAACGATAAATCGCGTTTCATCGTTCAAGATACAAACAGAATATCAAACTCGTCGAGCGAGAAAAAATTCGCAGCGTTAAATTTTTCCGATACGATCGTTTCGTCAGATTCGAACGATAAACAATCCACGTCGACCGCGCCCGATAAAATAATTCTCCAAAACGATACGAAATTTACATCGTCGACAATAATTAATTCGAACGTCTCGAAATTAAACGACTCGTCGTCGAAAGGAGGCGAGGAGTTGGAGACGTCTAAAACGATTAATTCGCAGCTTGCAGATTCGAAGCTTGCGAACTCGAATAATAAGAGCAAGGATCGAACGGATGGGACGGAGTTAGGGACTCGGTGGGCGGAGATTGACGGGAATGGAGAAGCCTCCATTAAACCTGTGTCGCAAGAAACGTCTATGCTAAGTAGCGTGACAAAGGGGTCTAAGAACGTCTTGGAGAATTCCGTTCGTGGCTCGGTTGCGGCACCACGGAATCCCGCGTATTTAAAACACGATGCGAACAGTCTAGCCGAAGGCGGCTTCGTCTTCGAGAGCACTGCCCTCTCCGAATTCGAGGAGAAGAATGCCAGCGATCCGTTCGTCCAAGCCTCGTCGACGATCACGGAGGAGGGGAGAAAATTGGTGGGAAATTCTAACTCAAATTCTAACGCACTGCCTGAACCCCCATCTATTAACCACGAGATGGAATCGAAGCGATCCTTCCCATTTGAAAGAAACGGCGAATCGTCCAACATCACCGTCATTTCTCGAAAAGACGAAGACTCGAGAAAGAAAATCAAAGGTGGAAAGAAGATTTCTGCTGGGAAAGAAACTCACGAATCTTCGAGTTCGAATGGATACAACGAGGCGAAAAATTTCCAAGGATCGCTTAACGACTTTCTAATTGTTCCTGGGAGGAAAAAGTCCGAGGAAGGGTTGGGATTCATCGTTGGGGTGAATCGAGAGAATATCGAGGAAAATTTCCAAGAAATTAGGAAGGAATCGATCGCGTTTGTTTCCCCCTCGAACGAAGAGGTAATCACGATTAATTCGTTGGAGGATGGAATTACTGAAAATATGGATCCTGTTTTCTTAGAGGAGGTGACCGATTCGAATCGTCCCTCGAAAGGACGAAAGTCCAGATCGTCGAAAGTTCGAGCTTCCACGAGCTCGAACCCGAAATATAATCCAACGGCGAAGGCTGAAGATCGGGCGAATGATCAAACTTCCGCGTCAACGTGGAACAAAGACGGGATCGTTTCGAACAACGTCCCAACTCCGAGTATCGATTCCACCGTCAATGGCCGGGTATCAGAGCCGGATAACGGGATTCGCGAAACTCTACAACTCCCGGAATCCATCTCGAATTCCTCGTTTCGATCCACGATATCAATTTCGTCGGCGACGAAAGACGATCATCCTACCTCGTTAACCGACGTTACGCTGTCGCCGATCGAGATCGACCAGTTGCCAAGCCCAACGTTGATCAACGAGAAGGAGGAGAATAAGGAGGAAGAGAAAAAGGAGGGGGAGAAGAAGGAGGAGGAGGAGGAGGAGGAGGAGAAGGAGGAGGATCGATCGTACGTTACCCCGTACGAGGGAAATTATCAGGATTTCCGCGCGACCGTGGACTCGATCTCTCGAAACGCTGATAACTCGTCACACGAGACGGAGCCCCAATGGCCGGTTAAACACAGCGCCGTGGTGGAAGGTGATCTGGTGTTGGGCGGTTTGATGATGGTGCACGAGAGGGAGGACAACGTCACCTGCGGGCCTGTGATGCCGCAGGGCGGTGTCCAAGCCCTCGAGGCGATGCTCTACACTTTGGACAAGTTGAACGATCGTGGAATCGTGCCCGGTGTCAAGATAGGCGCCCATATCCTCGACGATTGCGACAAGGACACGTACGGTCTGGAAATGGCCGTGGATTTCATCAAAGGTAAGTTCATTTATCTACGACTCGGGCCCGGCCGACGACAGCTCGATGGTGATTAATGCCCGTTTATACTCGCAATTAGGGGACTGATAACCGTAATTGACGGATGGCTCGTTAGGGGATCGAGGATGTGTTAATTCGAGCCAGTCATCCGTTAATCCAAAGGAGGAATTAATTGATAATTTTAGGGTATCATAGTGATTTGGAAGATGTCTTTCTAAATATTTGAATATTTTGTGAATATTTTGTTATTGCGAATTGGATGTTTTAATTTTCTTTTTCTTTTCTTGATAAATGGGCAGAAGCGAAGACAATTTCATGATATTGTTTTGTCAAGTTTTGAAATTTTAAAAAAAGGATTTTAGATTTTAGAGATCTAATTATTCGTTTGGTTATCGAATGAAAGATTTAATTCGTTTCTTTTTCTTTCTTTCTTTCTTTCTTTCTTTCTTTCGTTATTTCTTTTAATTATGTCAATCCACAAAAGAATTATCTTAAAGTTGTCGAGGAAAAATTCTCTTGTTCAGCTTATAGAACTTGGAAGGTTCTTAAAAAAAATCTTGTTGAAAATGTAGCTTATTTTCGTAACGAAAGGAAGGAACGTGAGACGGTATTATATTTACTCGCGGTCGATAGAAGAAAACAATGTTATTATCGAAATATCGCTCGACCGTGGCATCGCTCAGAGAAATGATTCCCGACAAGAGACGAAAATCCATGCGACCTCGAACAATTTTATCCTCATGGTTAACAAATACGAGAAAATGTGTCTACAAATTGCTTCTCGAGAAACTTTTTCCCTATCTTTAACAATAGAGGAGAGATAGCATTGGAGGAGAAGAAACTTGGAATAGATTCATCGTCCGTGGTACGGCAAGTTTTGCACGACATGGCAAAAAAAAAAAGAAAAAAAAAAATAAGAAACTTGCATGCTCCCTTTCGAATTTCGAAAACTTTTCTCGAAAAGTGGCTATAAAAAGAAAAGTCTAGGAACGATAATCGAGAGAAATCGTCGCTTAACCCGAATCTCTTACTCGATACTGGCTTGACGATGCACAGTTTCCACGTGTCCAAAGATGAGAAAAACAACAATTGTAAATCCGCGAATGTAGGTTACATCCACGATGCATTCGAAATTATGCAACTGAGACCGCTTTGAAACTCGGATTCATTGTCTTGGAAATGATAATTAACAGCGACTGTCAAAGGTAGGAATAAAAATTAAAACAAATGTGAAGTTGGCTAAATATTAACCAACTCTCGACATTGAAACGAGCTCGTAATTAAAAAGGGGTTACGCGGTTCTTATTTTGAAGTAACAGGTAAAAACTCGATTTTAATTTATACACGGTGAAAATATTATTTCTCGTCCGTGAAAAAGGATTCGCAATGAAAGAAAGAAAGAAAGGAAGAAAGACAAAAAAGAGAAAGATATATCTTGCACACCAGCAGGATTGTTCGATACTTTTCATCGAGTGACACCGTGAATACAAGAATTTACGATAGAATTCAATTAACTTTTCATATTCTTTGACACATGGATTCTCATAAATTTTTGTTAAAATTACATTGGAAATCGATAAATTGTAAAAATATTTAGGGGGGTATTTTTTTAATATTTCAATGTTGAGACAAAAGAAAACGGATATCCCTTTATATATTACGTTTTTTACACTTTTTGGTACAAAAGGAATTCATAAATATTACATTAAAAATATACCTACAGCTATTAATATAAATTTCGATCCACTCGTACTATTTCATTAAATCTCCATCCACTCGTCCCACACGGTTGTTAATCTCATTACATTACATAATAAATAAAAGTATTCACTCCAATGAAAATAAAAAATTTCTCGTGTTAAATTGAAGATAACAACTTTCGTTTCGCGTTTACCTGACAACAACATTTATTACCACTACAAGAACTTTGTGACAGTTTGCAAAACTAAGATATCCTCTATATGGATACTTTATATTTTCTTGTAGAAGAACAAATATACGTATATCGAGAGACTTCTAAAATTCTTCTTTCCAACTTTCTTCCCTTCCTTGTTTTTCGTGTTACCGTATTATTCTCGAGGAAACGAGTCAGTATTTAGTAAATAAACTGAGCCCAGAAAAGTTTAAAAATCAACGAAGGAACGCGCTTTGTTAATAATCAAACTTTTCGAAATATATATATATTTTTTTTCTTATTTTCCTCGAGGAAAGTAGCGAATTTAGCGGGTCAAAGGGTTTTGAAATTACCGAAATTCGAGAACACAAGATCTGTTTCTCTCACGTTGCTTTACCCTTTTTCCTTTTTTTCCCCGTTATCCTTTTTCCATGGTAAATATACAAGGTGTCCAATTATTAAAAATTTAAAGTTTCCTTCTCGAATGAATCGAGTTTTCTTCAAATACGAGTGGAATTAACTAACTCGAAACTATTAATGATTGAACACATTTAAAAATAAGCAAAAGAATAAAACATTTTGTCGTGTAAAGTTCTTAATTTTGAAAAATGAAATCTAATGTTTAACAAAGAAATATGGAATTCAGTTTCCTCGAGAACTGATTTTTAAATGAAAAAAATTCCTTTCATATCTTTTTGCTTCAAAAACAATAAATAAAAAAAATATTTCTTTTGGATTTACTTTTCCATGAAATGAAATGCTCGATATTGGGACACTCTGTATATATAACGAGGGATACCGAGTCTCCATTTCGCCGGTTCTTCGATGGAAACCCTCGACCCAGATATTTCGTCAATGCCAAGGTCTTAATTTGCCGTTTTCCAAGCAACGATCAATGGCAGGGGCGATGTTTGATAGATTCCACCCGAACCTTGACGTGAATGCAAACCGCGACGTGGTGATGCGCCAAATGTAAAATTGCGCGGTGAAAACTGTGTATGCACCTATGTATCGATGAAAGGAATGGAAGGTATCGAGCGTGGAAATTTGAGGAGAAACGAGGCCTTTGTGAATAGTCGACTGGTTTCACGTTTCTATATACGAGTTGGTGAACGATAGGCTTTTTCGAAGTTGGATTCTTTGTTCCTTGTATCCCTTGCGAAAGAGAAAATAGGGGATCAGAGAAAATATAGAATAATTAATCTTGATTAATTCTGATTCTGTGTTTATATTATTCTATATCGCGAAATCTAGTGACAAAACAAGTATAGAATTATTATTAATTTTGAATTCTTTTTAACATTTTATCTTATGTATATTCGTGAAATTCCTGTATATTATTCTATATCGCAAAATCTAGTGATAAAACAAGTATAGAATTATTATTAATTTTGAATTTCTTTTCAATATTCTATCCTATGTATTCGTGAAATTCCTGTATATTATTCTATATCGCGAAATCTAGTGACGAAACAAATATAGAATTATTATTAATTTTGAATTTCTTTTCAATTCTATCTTATGTATTCGTGAAATTCCTGTATATTAGTCTATATTGCGAAATCTAGTAACGAAACAAGTATAGAATTATTATTAATTTTGAATTTCTTTTTAATATTCTATCCTCTGTATTCGTGACTTCTTGATGAAATTGTGTTAAAAACAGTGTAGTACATTTGCTGAACGTATTTTAGAAGAAACTTCTAACTTCATTTTTCAATTCGTGTATATTATTTTATATCGCGAAATCTAGTGACGAAACAAGTATAGAATTATTATTAATTTTGAATTTCTTTTCAATATTCTATCCTATGTATTCATGAAATTCCTGTATATTATTCTATATCACAAAATCTAATGATGAAACAAGTATAGAATTATTATTAATTTTGAATTTCTTTTTAATATTCTATCTTATGTATATTCGTGAAATACAGTGATGAGAGAAGTATAGAGTACTTAATTCCCTTTTTGCGTATTTATAAATGTAATTTTGTATTATCGAGTTAATTTTCTATAACTTCTATAACTTCTATAACAAAATTGTGTTAAGAACAGTGTAGTGTATTTGCTGAACGTATTTTAGAAGAAACTTCTAACTTCACTTTTCATTTCATATTCCGTTCCGTTTCCGAACGTATCAAAACCGTACTGAAGAGATTAATTATTCGAAAGTAAGTTTTTCTTACAATTAAGTAGACTGTGGAAGAATTTCTACTTCTGGAATTAAAGTTTCCATTAAAGAAATTGAAAACTTGATCGATCTACCGAGAAATTTGTGAAAAGAAACATCAGTTTCTACGGGTCAATTTTCTAAATGAAATCATACTTTTTCAATTCAATATATAATACTTTGTTCGAGACTTTTTGAATTGTACACAAGTCACGCTGCGATAATTAAAATTGTTCTAAAATATTTGTGACACGGTTAAATCTCTGTATCAAAAAAAAAAAAAAAAAATATTGAATATCATTCCCTCCCCTCTTCTGAATAAAACAAGCACGATTTTATTTTCCTCTATGCGGCTACAATTTCATGGGAAATTGAAATAAATCATTTAAAGAGTTGTCAGCGCGTAACGTTTTAATTAAAGCGTACAATAACTTCTGGCGGACCTTTGACTTCGAGCAAACATCTTTGAAAGGGGGCGCGACTCTTTATTCGAAAGTCTTTCGCATTTCGTAAGTAAAGGAAAACAAGGAATTATTTCGTGTTTTTTAACGTAAAAGAACCTCTTTTTAATTTTGATTTAATGAAATAAATAAAAGGGTGGAAACCGAATGAAAATCGTACGAAAATTTTAACAATTGCGAAATTAAAAAGGAGATGCTTTTCTTTTAAATATTTCCTAGAGAGAGACGGAAATTTTTTACATTGAGTTTTTAAACTGTGAACCAATCTTGTCATGCAATTCGCGAATCCTTTCTCTCCCTAAATTTTAATTCAAAAATAATATACACACACATATCGTCTATATCTCGTTCACGAAGGTCTAATCTATGTCAGAATTCGGATGATAAGCTCTTTAGAATTCAATTTCCAGGGAAGGATATCGTAAATGCGAGGAGCCATCGCGATGTCAACTAGAGACAATTTCCATTCAAG